CGAAAGAAGTGAGAAGAACCTCTTCAGTGTGGGATGTTTGAAACGCTTGGTCATATATGAACATTTTGCAAGATGTAAAGGAATAGTGACCAACCCCAATCCGAGATACCCACGTCAACTGTACTGAGGTTTTCAGAGGTTAGCATTACAGTACCTGCAATGTGCCTGTACGGTGCATTGATCCTGTATGATGTGCCTGCATTTTGTCACGGACCCATACCGATTAGTGACTTTTGGTTGACCAGATAACGAAAAAGGTGCGGTCTCATGACGATTGACTACAACCCCGACTGTTCTCAGGACGAAACTACGTCACTTGAAATGCCAAACTATCTCCATACTCCATGCCAGTCATTGTTCCGATTTTCAGGAACCACCCGGACAACCACCGTACCAAATTGCTTTGCATGGATCGAATCACGGAGAAGCACGAATGGCTTGCATTCGCAATTCTTCGATTGAGGATTCGACTAGCAAGAAGCGTCATGTGTGTTCGGTGTTGATTTTATAGGTCGACGGTTCTGGTTGGTATTTCTTTTGCTAAGTGTGAATAAATGAATAACCGAAATGGTGTGATCAGGACAAGGTTTATGAGAAAAATGACGCATCAGTACTACTACTGTTTACGACGATCAGCGATACCAGTTCATGTGTTTGACCATTGATCTGGTTGATCTCGAGTTCTGTGACCGGAAATTCTAGCACAACCTAGATGATACGGTCCCCAGGTTTTCATAACTTTTTGCTACCCACATACCTCTCATGTGGTTGTGGTCTTTGAGGATCAAGCAATTGAATAGGTGTGCGAACAGGATTGCTGAATACTGCCGGTGTAATCTCTGTCGTTGTTCTCCGGTTGTTCCACCAGATTTGTGTCATTCTAACGCCAAGAGTATGCAGCAATCTTCTGCACGTAACGATCGTCAATCTGATCAGACTGTTTTGTAATATATATCTGACCCTTCACTCACTGTTTGATCTTATGGTATGTCATGTTTGCATGAAGTGCGGCGAAATGCACTCAGGCGACCTGATTTTCTTGAATGATATTCATTTGATGATGCCTCCGAAACCCTCAGTATGGTCAGGGGTGGGTGTCTAGCGTTGCGGCTGATCACCCTTCCCTTGCACCTTGTGATATGCTCCCATACGACTAAGCGTCTCAAATAGCCTCCGCTGAGTAAGCCCTACTCACTGCCTTCTCGTGGCGGAGGTGTTTTTCCCACCAAAGTGAGAGGGCAAAAGCCGATATCCGGGACTATAACTGGGTTTGTGGACCACTGGTAGTTCATCCTGGGTAGTTGGCCAAAAACCCTGATTCCAAACCAACCAAGACGAGGCCCACGAACCACACACTTTTCCGGTTGTGACAGTGGTCACCGGCTCGATTGGGCATCAACGTATATCGGGCACGTTGGTCGTTTGATCCCGTCCAAAGGGTGCATGATCCAATGAAATGGACACCGGCCCACAATGGATTGCGATTTTCACACACCACCTCGCTGCCTTACGGATCAGGCAGTGGTTAGCCGAAAGCTCCGGTTGTGAATTCCTCGAAAAAATTCACCTGCTTTGACCTGTGAAACCTGATAGTATTCGGTCCACATGTAAATCATGGAACGTTTTTCTTTCCATAAAGATCATTGTACTGTGATTTGTCTACTACATAGTCTGGCTTCAGACATGTACAAAAATATAATAATAGTAATAATAATATACAGCCCATCTTCCTGATAATGAATAGTTCTCCAGGTTGCACTGAAACGTATTTCGATGTCTGGGAAGGAATCGTTTTCTGACTTCATCATCCTCAAAACAGGAGTGTACCTCAAATGAAGCCAAGCAAGCTTTATGCACCCGAATGGTGAATGCTTCAGAGAGTTTTACCGGAATACAGTGCAGACCGAAAGAAAAGAGCGCGAAGGGGCATGGAGGGAGGTAACAATGACAGCATACTGGGAACAATAAAGCGATAATAATAATAATAATGGTTGCAAACAAATTGCTAACTCAAGAAGCGTTACACCAAAACTGCAATCATCGGTGCCCAGTTCACTAAAAACGGACAAGTTATGGGAAGATTTTGTTCATTGTTCAAGATTCTGTCAGCAATTATTTTGCCCGTATCAATATGCTTGTATGCAATAAAATCAAGGAGAATATTTCTGAATGTACCACTACGTGGGGAAAAAAGTTTGGTGGATCTGAAAATAATTGCGCAAATGTTTTTTTCGAGCCGTCGAAAAAATACGGTGGAACGATGCAACCAAAGAGAAAGGATGCATGGGATTGCAAAATAGGAAAAAATCACATTCTCGGGAAACAGCCAGCTTTCTGAAAGCCTGAAAGCATCATAAGAAAGTTTACAAACCCTATTGTAGACAGTCGGCGCATAGCTAATCCAAGAGAGAGGGAGAGAGAAATTGTGGAATGGAATGAGCCTGAAGTACTTCACAAAGTCAACTTTGGGAATACAACAAGTTTAGACAGATTATTAAAAATGGTGTAATGATTGAGGCCGGATATGAGGTTGTAGGGAACATCAACTCATTTAAGATCAGCGAGCATAGGCCAGACATAGGGCACAGACAAACTAAAGGCATCGTTCACACTTTTTTTTAAATAGGTGGAAAAAATCTTGGCTATTGAATTGGCATCCAATCACTGTCCTGACAGGCAATAAAGAGCCCACCAAGACGAGTGTTGAAAAACTGTGATGTGCGACGGCCGGTAAAAATTCCTCGGATGACTGGCGAACATCAAAAGGTGCACCTCCAGTGTCACAGGCGTGCGACACAAAGGTCTAATATCGTGTGGAGAGACAAAGAGACGTTTCAGTGACGAATTTTTGACGGAAAGATAACAGTTTCATACTATGAAGAGATAAGAAAGCACACTAAAGAACTGAGTGTATCGATACCGCAAGGTGGCGGGAATTCTTGTACTGGATGAGGAGTTATTGCTTCGGGTGCGAATAGCGGGCTGGTTTTCGTCGACGTAAACGAGGTTGGTTCGAAATATCTAAATATATTGAGTAAGCATTTTAGGCCGTTAATCTTTAACTTTTATCGATAGCCGGGATGGCAGCGCTATTGAAACGTCGTTTTATCACTCCACACAACGTTACTTCATTGTGTTACGCACTAGCCCCAGCGAATCATCACCTAATCGAGACTCGCGTTTCGATGACATTCGCTCACCGAACAGTTCAAACCACAGTCGTTCAATACTCGTCTTAGTGTACATTCTGAATAAGGGGAATGAGTCTCACTTTCTGTGGATGATTACGTCAAACAGTGATTTCTCCGGAAGCACCAAAATGCCCTTCCTTGTAGCCTTCCGTTTGTCACAGGAGGCTGACCGCTATCAGAGTGATGGTGACAAGAACCGCTTTCTTAGTATCGTCGTATCCGAATGCAAGCTACATATGCTGATTAGTCTACTTTCGATATTCAAACAGCCAACTACAGATAGCAATAGTCTGAAGAATAATTTGCTGCTCATTCCGAGACTAACTGAACGCGTGTTTTCTCTCTTCACTTCAATGGAGGTCATCTAGCACGTGATGATTGGGTTCACTATTGTGTATGTGTGTCCATACAGTTCATGAAAATCGACCCGTTTAATCACACATGGGACTGTGTTTTGGTGATTCAAGTACGAGTAAAAGAGATGGTATCATATTTTCTAATTATAGTGTTGTGAGGTACTACTCTCATTTGTGAGTAGTGCTTTTAAAGCGTACACAAAGAAACGATTGCTAAATTTTCATGTCATTCGCCAGTGAATGATAGGATTCATTTTTGTAACTACAGAAAAGACCGAGACAAACCGTCAGGCTCATGAGCACCGATGAAGAGGTGCTTACGCAAATACTAATCAGTCGTTGTCAGTTAGATGTCTCGTTCTTTTATCATCTTATTTATTCCTCACTTATGCTCTTCTTCTAGTAAGTAATAAGTAATAATAAGTAAGTAATAATAATAAGTAATAAGTAAATCTCCCCAGCACGGTACTTACTTTTGGAATCATAACACCTGTGAAGTGGGGCTCTTGTTTTTGATCAACATTGTACGTGTGCAATCACTGGTACATTGCCACACACACCCACACCATTCTGATGGCTTGGGAGAGTCGGTATTGTATCACGTGTTTCCGGTACCTGATTCTCGATCCCGATGTCTGACACTATCGTTCACAAAGTTTAAAAAT